AAGTTACCAGAAGTGGTTATTTCGAACAAAACGATCGCTATAGGGCGCTGTGAAAGCTTTAACGGCCAGGTTGACAGCTGTTGACCAGACCCACTTTTCTTTTCAGCAATACGATCCATTTTTCTCAGTCGGGTTCCACCACCAGTTTTAATGTCACACCTCCGAATCCCTGCCTCCCTCCTACCTTAGGCCGATGTCAGACTTTGCGAATCGCGCGATTCGCTACTAGCGATTCGCGCGATTCGCTAGCGTCCGCGGTCGCGTTGCGGTACCAGCCAATTGAGTGATTCACTGGCCGCGACGCGACCGCAGACGCTAGCGAATCGCGCGATTCGCAAAGTCTGACATCGGCCTTAGGTAGGAGGGAGGTAGGGAATCGGAGGTGTGACATTAAAACTGGTGGTGGAACCCGACTGAGAAAAATGGATCGTATTGCTAAAAAGAAAAGTGGGTCTGGTCAACAGCTGTCAATCTGGCCGTTAAAGCTTTCACAGCGCCCTATAGCGATCGTTTTGTTCGAAATAACCACATCTGGTAACTTCGAATAATGAAATTGTTTTTCCAGGATGTCTTGGCTGGTGTTATGTCTGTTACCGCTCCTACAGATCGTCAGCGCAATACGACCTCCTCCCACGAAAGGACCACAAATATTCAACCCACCGGCAGCATTGTTTCAGGTAAGAATTTGAGTGCATACAGGACACAATTAGGAAATTGAAGCAGAATACTGTAATTTTTCTTTATGGAACTCCGAAAACGTCCCTTTGTGTGACGCATTTTACGACACTTAAGTGTCAGTACTGTTCTGTATGTGTTGTAGTCGGAGAAAGCAGGAAATAAATGATAAAATTATTATTACTTCACAACAGTCATGATTGATCCTTTAAAGGCACCTTTCCAAAAAAGCCCGGTGGATCAGCGCTTCAGCAAGGACCAGCTTCGAAAGCGCTGAGTTTGCGCAGTTGATAGAACTTCAAAAATGCCGCAAGAGCGTTAGGGATTTATTATCTGACTGCGAGTGGCTGCGGCTGTTATTCACAACGAAACATTCCTTACGATGTCTGCGTTTGTCTGCGTCTCACATAT